CAAGAGTTGGGATTTTAACGTCTAGACAAGATATATGTATAATGACTCTCAAGTGTTGGGATTTCAATGTCTAGATAAGATATATGTATTATGTCTCTAAAGTGTTGGGATTTCAACGTCTAAACAAGATATTTGCATAATGACCCTCAAGTGTTGGGTTTTCCACATATAAAAAGATGTAAATATTATGTCTTTAAAATGTTGGAATTTCAACATACAGATAGGAAAGATGTATTATGTCTCTCAATTGTATTTCTATAATGTCCCTCAAGTGTTGGGATTTCAACATATAGACAACATATATGTATTATATCTCTCAAGTGTTGGGATTTCAACACAGACACAAGATATATGTAATATGTCTCTCAAGTGTTGTGATTTCAACACATACATATGATATATGTATTACGTCTATCAAGTCTTGGGATTTTAACTTCAAGACAAGATATTTCTGATAATGTCCCTCAAGTGTTGGGATTTCAACATATAAACAAGATATGTAATACAAGATATGTATTATGTCTCTCAAGTGTTGGGATTTTAATGTGTAGACAATACATTTCTATAATGACTCTCAAGTGTTGGGATTTCAACATATTGAAAAGATATTTGTATAAACAAGATATATGTATTATATCTCTCAATTTTTGGGATTAAAACGTCTAGACATGATATTTCTATAATGTCCCTCAAGTGTTGGGATTTCAACAAATAGACAAGATGTATGTATTATGTCTCTCAAGTGTTGGGATTTTAACATATAGACAAGATATATATATATAATGTCTCTCAAGTGTTGGGATTTCAACACATACACATGATATATGTATTACGTCTATCAAGTCTTGGGATTTTAACGTCCAGACAAGATATTTCTATAATGTCCCTCAAGTGTTGGGATTTTAACATATAAACAAGATATATGTATTATGTCTCTCAAGTGTTGGGATTTTCACGTGAAGACATGCCATTTCTATAATGTCCCTCAAGTGTTGGGATTTCAACATATAAACAAGGTAAATGTATTATGTCTCTCAAGTGTTGGGATTTTAATGTGTAGACAAGATATTTCTATAATGACCCTCAAGTGTTGGGATTTCAACAAATAGACAAGATGTATGTATTATGTCTCTCAAGTGTTGGGAATATATCATATAGACAAGATATATGTATAATGTCTCTCAAGTGTTGGGATTTTAACGTCTAGAAAAAATCTTTCAATAATGACCCTCAAATGTTGGGATTTCAACATTTATTTCACACAATACTATTTGAGAACATTTAGTTTTACACACAATCGCTTTAACAAGTAAAGTTAGAGGCAACACAGTCGTGTATATAGTTAAAGTGATAATAAATATACACATAAGCCGAAATTGTTAAAAAATGTAGCAAAATGAATTCAGAATTTTGTTTCTCCATGAGTTATTGACGCACGTGCTTCAGGTTATCGTAATGGTCAACATTCATTGTGGTCTCGTGCGACAATGTGGATTACTTCTTTGATGTCCCCATAGCCTTCTTCATAGCTTTAAATCTTCAACACTTACGTGCTGAAATCAATGATTCCGAAAGTCCAGAAAAATAAAAACTGAAGTTATGTCCGAGGCAACTTTTTACAGCAGCCACATGGTACTTGAAACCTGCTAAAATATCAATCGCTAAAAGCTTTACCGCTCAAAGAAGAAATAAGCTTCTGCTAAAATCATCCAGATATGCTAAACAAAGGCTTTGGTGAAACTGTACAGCAACGCTCATGATATGATCCTTTTCAAAAATTGCTGAAATCATTTCGATCTGTTGAACAAGCTAATGGCTAAAAGTAGAAAAAAGCTTGATCAACATCTTCTTAACAGCTTGGTAAATTTTTATGAAATTCTACTGGACGGTCATTAGGTAGACTGTTACTAAAATTGCTAAAATAGTTTGCTGCATAAGATATTAAAAGAAAATTAAATGACACCTCCTCTGAATGAATGACTTTTAAAGTCCTTTGCTAAAAATAAATGCTACAAACGGTTTTACGCTAAATACAGAAATAAGAATAAAATGCATTTCCCTTACCCCTTTGATTATTTGCATTACACTTTATTAATATGAATTACTTGCTGATTAAATCTTGTTCATGTCGGTCATTTCCTTTAGTGATATAATAATGCCAATTATGATTATCTTTATCGAAATTACAAACGCAAAATGGTCAACATCGTAAGCTTTTTATTCCTCCATATCAATACCAAGTAAATCATTGAACATCTAAAGAATGAATGCGGAAAATAATTATATTTTTAGATGATGAAAACTAGATGATTCAATTTAGTTTCCTTAAAAAACAATAACCGATCAGGAACACCCACTTTACTTCTGATTGGCTCTTACGTTATGGGGTTTACAGTTAGAGAAAACAATAATCATTCATTTACATGTACCATAAAAAGTAATCGAGGTTCCGTGTGGGGAATTAAATCTATTAAGGGAAGCAAAATATATATTTAAATTGTATGTCTAATCAAATTTTTATTTATGTTTATCGGTAAAGTATATCCAACTCGACTATAACGGCCTCGATCATTTTCTGTAGAGAAACACCTCAATGTCGCCCCAGACCATGATATTTCCACATAACAGTCTTGTCGCTACACTATAACTATAACTTAAACTAATGTGTGAGGAGATTAAAACGTATGTTTGTATAATGATGTTTGTTACAGTGTTTACATTGGTATTACTTCATTATGTTATAGCGGGTAAGCAAATTCTCACCTATTTTAAAGTTTTATCATCTGGATGATAACATTTTATATGTTGTTCTTTCAAATGATAATTTACAATAGCATCATGTTTCCAGTAAATTTTGATTCAACTCGCCTCTTAGAAAAACGTCCACTCTTTGTCTTAATCATTTTAAAAGAATAATTTATAAACGCCTATTAAATAAACAAAAAGGGACACCGTAGAAAATATACACTTTTATTCTAGCACCGGTATAAACAGTGGATAATCTGATATGCAAGAATGTATTATCTCTTACACACAATTTCAATTTTAGCTTATCTTAGTTCTTAATTGAAATCTTGAAAGAGCATACAGGATCAAACTTGCATTAATAAGAAATAATTACAAATGTAATCTGGATAAAACATCAAGGAACATTTTGTGTATTCAAATTTGCTAAGTCGCATGGAACTCTGATTTCTTACAATATGTAAAAATATGCCCGAGATAAAAAAAAACAATAACATTTTTAGCATATAAACAACCAGCAATAATGTTTATAATCATGTTATCATGTCATTTGCATAGAGAAAACGACAATTATAATACTTACGTAAATGTAACGTATGTGATTATTTTCAGTATTAAGGTTGGTCTAAAAATTCGAAAGTGCCAAGATCACAGTTTTGTTGCGAGTACAAAAGTTAATATTATCAAAGATTCCTGGATTCCATATAGTGACCAATAATGAATCTCGGGATATTTTTTCCAAAGATTCTAAGTTTTAACAATAAATAATTCGTATCTTTTATTTATGAGGGGACTTGTTAGGCTACTGGTTTCTGTAATGATCAATACATGTGGATATTTCTTTTTACTAGTACTTTCACATTTTAATAGACCCAGGTTTCTGTTTCTTTTCTTGGATCGAAGTATATCACGGCTTTATCACTTAAGGTATCTTTTTATGATGTGAATGATTTTTCTTGATCGACAGTCCATACAAAATTTACATATTTATGTGTAAGGTGTCTTAATGGGTCTGTTAAGCTTGAATAGCCATCTATGAACTTCGGCAAATAGTTCGTGAGACCCAGAAATGAATATGGATTTTGGTATGTCCATATTTTTCACTGCATTTACTTCGTCAGGATCGGGTGAAAATCTTGATGCGGAAAAAACGTATCCGTACAACTTGATTTTAAATTGTCCGAATGAACATATATTGGCTGTTAAATGTAGAATTTCGGTCTTGAAGACGCTGCAATAAAGCTCGAAGATTGGCATCTTGTTCCTTATGTGTTTTACCAAAGTATACGATACCGTCGGCAATATTCAAAACGCCTGTTAGACCTTGAGGTGTTTGACGAAGCACGTTTTGGAAAATTATCGTTGCTCCCTGAATTAAGACGTTTACAACAAAACAGTCCAATAGGTGTATGAAATGTTGTCATTACATGTGACGCTTCATCTAATTCACTTTGATGGAAAGCTTTGTACAGATCTAGATGCGAAAACACCGTTGCGCCGTTTAACGTCAAGTTGATGTCATGCACTGCCGGGAAAACTTTTTTCTCTGTTTTGATTACGGTGTTGCTTTCCCTCATGTCTACGCACAATCTCACTTCAAGTGGAGCATTAGGTTTCGGAGCAGCTACTGAGTTCGAAACCCATAGTGTCAGTAAACCAATAACATTTTCAAGGACATCCGTTTTCTCTAAACATTTAGGTTCCTTTCTTTTTGCGCACGGTACTCTCCTAGGTAGTTGAGCAACAGGTACAACACTTTTATCAATATGAAACTTAACCTTTTTGTTTTTCAGACATCCTTGGTCTGTAAAAACTTGAGAGTATTCATCAATGATCCTGAATATGCGTCTCCGCTTTGATTGAGATAAAATTCCGATCCCTATCGAAAAATCATAACTTATCAATGAATCTTAATTGCCTTTAACGATATGGATGTGGGGGTGTATAGTAACTAGACAAAATGCGTTGTAGTTTCCAGATTCAACCTTTACTGATCAACAATCATATATAGTATAAACAACAATACAATGTTAGGTCGGAAGTGACGCTAACGTAAGCGCGGAACGTCACGTTATGACGTTATAAAAATGCGTCGTCTGTTAGCTATATGTTTAATGTTGTAACAGCGCCACCTTATGCCACAGATCTTGAAAGATTCTGGAAGTTAGAATCTATGGGGATATTAGAAGATGATACAGAGACATCTATTTTCGGTATACTTAACGCGTATAAAGAAAACTGTATCACGTACAAAGATGGACGTTATGTTGCAAAACTGCCCTGGAAAGAAGATCATTCCGTACTTCCTACAAATTACGAAATTTGCAGAAAGCGTACAGAAAACACAATTAAACGACTTTCAACAGAACCGGATATACTTAAAAAACTATGGACAAATCATAATTGATCAGTTTAAACGCGGTTTTATTGAAAAATGTGATACAAATGTTACCACATCAAACCCTGTACATTATATTCTACATCATTATGTAAAGAAGGACTCGAACACGACACCTATCCGCATCATGTATGACTGCAGTTGTAAGTCACGTGACCAGCCTAGTCTGAACGATTGCTTGATGTCGACACCACCTGAACTGAATGATTTAACTGGAATTCTTATTCGTTTTCGAATTAATAAATACGCCATAGCAACCGATATTGAGGAAGCTTTCCTCAACATTACTCTTGACGAGAACGACCGAGATGTGACGCGATTTCTATGGCTCAGTGATCCTTGTAACCCCAACAGCGAATTGACAACATATAGATTCCGAGCAGTCCTTTTTGGGGCTACGTCGTCCCCTTTTATTCTCTGCGCAACTATACTTAAGCACCTTGAACTTAACAACGACAAGAAAGCTAGCGAATATCTACGTCAAGATCTATACGTTGATAACGTGATATTAAGTTTCCAACAGGAAGAACAACTTCTACAATTCTACAGCGAGTCACGTGAGCTAATGTCATCTGCAGGTTTTAACCTTAGGTCCTGGAGTTCAAACAGTGAAATGCTTCAAATACAGGCAATCAATGATTCAGTATTAGATAATGCACAAACTCCTAAAATACTTGGAATGAAATGGGACACAAATAGTGACATTTTACTGTATCCGGTCAGAAACATACCAAATACCCAGATTGTAACAAAGAGAGAAATATTGTAGCATACATCTCGAATCTATGATCCCTTGGGTTTACTTAGTCAAGTTACCATCAGAGCAAAAATACTCCTACAGGAGTTATGGCAACAGAAGTTTGAATGGGATATGCCATTACCTGACAGTATTCAAGAAAAATGGCGTAGTTTAATAACAGATTTGAATTCCGTGACAAAAACTACGTTTCCTAGATATTACTTCGAAAATACATTAAACGCATCAAGTAACACGTGCATTAACATTTTCTGCGACGCTAGCTTGGTATCGTATGGTGCTACGGCTTACATATGTAGAGACAACCAATCTACTCTGGTAATGGCTAAAACTCGGGTTGCTCCATTTAAGAAGTTAACGTTACCTAGGTTAGAGCTAATGGCGGCAGTAACTGGATCCCGACTCAGTAAACACCTGCAGCAAAACACCAGCATAACATAGATATACATTTGGTCAGATAGTCAGATTGTGCTTTCTTGGCTTCAGACGCCTAAAACCCTTCCACGATTTGTAAGGAACAGAGTGATTGAAATCCAGGCGCTGTCCGAAAACCGGAAATGAAATAATTGTCCGACGAAAGAAAACCCTGCCGATTTACTTACGAGTGGAATCTCTGTGACTCACTTCAAGAACAGTAATCTATGGTTTCATGGACCTACATGGCTTACCACACCCGACAGTTGGCCAGTTTGGCAAGAAAAATGATACTTACGTTACCATGACAACGTTTATTGACCCAACAACCAAGCCAAAAGATACAATTTAACCATTAAGCAACATCAGTTTCATAGAAATGTCGAGATTCAGTTCGTTAACAAAGCTGCTCAGGGTTACAGCTTATGTCCTACGTTTTATATTCAAGTGTCGAGGCGGGAGTCATACTGGAAGATTGGACTTGTTAACTACAGACGAACTACGCAGAGCTGAGGAGATGTGCATACGAAGTTGCCAGATGTCCAAATATCAAGCAAAAATAAAAAATACAAAATCAAAAGGAAACAAACTTCCATTATGTAAACAACTTCAGTTATTCTTAAACAATGGCATATTAAAGTGTCGTGGTCGTATCCACAATGCTCCATTAGACGAGCTGACAAAGTTCCCGTACCTACTACCAGCTAAACATCCATTTACAAAGTTAGTTGTCAACGACGCACATTCAAGATTATTGCATGCCGGCGTTAGTTCAGCTATTACGTTTTTAAGACAGAAGTACTGGATTCCCTCGATTCGTCAAACTGTTAAAAACATTTTACGTAAATGTACATGTTGTGTGAAAGTTATTGGGAAACCCTATTTAGCACCTGACCCACCTCCATTACCAAAGTGTAGAGTTTCTGACGTCAAACCCTTTACTTATACAGGAGTAGACTTCTCTGAAGCATTACTGGTTCGGGATAGTAACAAAAGAGACATAAAAGCTTACTTATGCTTGTTAACGTGTGCTACTACGAGAGCAGTTCACCTAGAACTTGTTTCAAACCTATCAGCAGAATCATTCCTACAAGCTTACCAACGTTTCTGTAGCAGAAAATCTGTCCCTTACGTCATGATGTCAGACAACGCTAACACCTTCATATCAGCCTCAAAACAACTAAGAGATTTGTTTCACTCACTCACAGTTAGAGAAGAACTCAACAACAGAGGAATTGAGTGGAAGATGATACCTAAACGCGCCCCTTGGTTTGGTGGAATGTGGGAACGTCTCATAGGTCTGACGAACACAACAATAAAGATAGTGCTAGGACGTTCCTATGTTACCTACGAAACTTTACAGACTGTAATCACAGAAATCGAGGCAATGATTAACGATAGGCCGTTGACATATGTGTGTTCTGGTAATTCAGATGAACCGGAAGTACTTACACCATCACACTTACTTTATGGCAGACGAATAACTAAACTCCCTTATGAAGATGTCCTTTCATGTACATTCCCTACGCAAAGTGACCGTTCTTCAGTTATCAAACAGGCTACGATACTAACCACTTACGGGATAGATGGCGTCACGAATACCTGACAGCTTTACGAGAACGTCATCAGACTACTGGCAAAAATGACCAGACGATATCCGTTGGAGACGTTGTATTAGTCCACGACGATGTTCCCCGATTATTATGGACACTTGCTGTGGTTGAAGAACTCGTGCCAGGAAAAGATGGACTTATTCGAAGTGCTAAAATTCGAACTCAAAATGGACTTACAAATCGCGCAATTGTAAAACTTTACCCCCTCGAAATGTATTAATCTAAAATTTCAAAGGAAAGGTGATACATGAAAAAGAGACTGTATTCAATATATTTATGACTGTTTCTTAATTAATAATACTTTATATGAGATACTATAGCAACTGTAGTGTTCAAATAATGGATTTATTACTAAACTTTAAATAACATTTCGCGCCCCGAGTATGTCGGGAATTGATAACGTCATTTATAGCGCCTTGCATAACGTGACGTTCCGCGCTTACGTTAGCGTCACTTCCGACTTAACATTGTATTGTTGTTTATACTATATATGATTGTTGATCAGTAAAGGTCGAATCTGGAAACTACAACGCATTTTTAACTTCCGGAAGAGGTCCTGACAGTAAATAACCGAGCTTTGATTTCACTGCCGTAGGTCCGTTGCCCCTAACAACCTTATTCTGCACGATTTGCCAAAAATAGTCGGCTGAAGAACTCGTGCCAGGAAAAGATGGACTTATTCGAAGTGCTAAAATTCGAACTCAAAATGGACTTACAAATCGCTCAATTGTAAAACTTTACCCCCTCGAAATGTATTGATCTAAAATTTCAAAGGAAAGGTGATACATGAAAAAAGAGACCCTATTCAATATATTTATGACTGTTTCTTAATTAATAATACTTTATATGAGATACTATAGCAACTGTAGTGTTCAAATAATGGATTTATTACTAAACTTTAAATTACATTTCGCGCCCCGAGTATGTCCGGAATTGATAACGTCATTTATAGCGCCTTGCATAACGTGACGTTCAGCGCTTACGTTAGCGTCACTTCCGACTTAACATTGTATTGTTGTTTATATTATATATGATTGTTGATCAGTAAAGGTCGAATCTGGAAACTACAACGCATTTTTAACTTCCGGAAGAGGTCCTGACAGTAAATAACCGAGCTTTAATTTCACTGCCGTAGGTCCGTTGCCCCTAACAACCTTATTCTGCACGATTTGCCAAAAATAGTCGGCTCCAATCAAGAGTGATATCTCGAAATCGTCGTCAGTGTCGGTAATAGGATGTGCAAGTTTTAGACCTTCGATATTTTTCAAACATTTCACATTTCTCTGCAAGTTAGGTAATGGTACAGCAATGGTTGGTACAATAAGTACGTCAAGTGGTATTATCTCTCTACGTGTAGAAACACTCTGCCTGTGGGTATATGACGACACTGTTCTGATTTGCCACCAAAAGATGCTAATGTTATAGTGTCCGAACCGTTGGGCTTTAATTTCAGTTTCTCAGCAAGCTCTTCCGTAATAAATGACCTTTGAGCACCTTCGTCAAATACTATGTTTGTATTAGTTATGGTATGGTCTTGGGAACTTACTTGAGCAATAGGAGAAACCTCAATTGCATTTATTTGTTCCCCTCACATGATTAAATGTTTGAAGAACAACACTTTCCAGGCATATTTGCTAAATCTCAAATGAATAAGCTAATAACGCTGCTTGCACTGTAGGCATACGATAATTTAGCTTTTACTGAAAACCGTTTTCTGCTTTTTATAAAATGATTATCCCCCTATAATTTGCACGTCAATGTTCAGATGCAAATATCACAGTATCTCAGTCAAATCTTTAAAAAAAACTTTATTTCACTGTAATTGAAACTAATCAATGACACAAATCTTATTTTTAGAAAATGGTGCCTTACAAAATATCTATACACATGCTCCCTACGCTGTCATATGACAAAGATTTGACTGGATAACATGCAGGTCTGTTTATTTAATATCTTAACTTAAAAGCACAAATAAGCTCCACATATTTGCATTGCATTTAAATGGTTTGTACATATGTATAGTACTAGTACATGTTTTAATTATGACGACATGTGTCACAGATCAGCTTTCGTATAACATGTTTAAAATTATTTTCTGATACATTTTTGAGTTGATGTAAGTCACGTTGAAGAGGAGTTTCAAATGTAATTTTCAATGTTCAGTCTAATATTGATTAAAATCAAATATGTTCTATACACTTTATTTCTTTCATAGCACTAGATTTAAATGGCATGCATGTGCCTTGTTATATTCTTATTTGTTTAATTATGCCAACATGTCGCAAGTGATATAAACATAGACCACTCAATAGACCGTAGAAAAAATATACGGATTCCTTCTGGAGATGCAGAAATAAGAATAGGAAATTCAAAGTCTATCAACAGTCACTGAAATATCATACCACATAGAAAGGTGGCAAGATAGGCAAGCCATATAATAATATGCATAAAACAGGTTTTAGCGACTAAACCCCAGCAGAACTATTCAAAACATGTCTTCTTACGTCTGTAAGGAGACACTTTTAAATAACTATAACCTTCAACCTAGATTAAGTGCAGATACTGTGAAAGATACTGTGTCTTGCTTGGGCTAAATAAATAACACTTTTTGAAAATATATTTCAAAGTCTGGTGTCGCCCACCTGAATTTTATAGATAAAGATACGTGATTTTACATTCTCGCGTGAAACTTTCGGCCACATTCAACACAGTGACTATAGTGAAAGGCTTCTGAAAGAGATGTTATATCTCTTAGAAACGGACAGAAAGTTAAAGCGAACTTGAGAAAGAATGGCCATTTCCAGGAATTAAGTAACTGTTTATTTTAGCATTGGTTTTACTGAAACTTCTTGTCTTGTTTAACTTCTAACATTCTATCAGGAAAAACAGCAATGGCGTGACTGTCCTACCCCCACACCCACCTCCCCCACCACCAAAAATAATCCGTTAAAATGTGAATAAGGTATTATTTACACTTAATCGTCGTATAAGTCAGATACAGTAACTCTTATTTTCTTTAAAAGCTTCTTTTTACAGACCTAAGACAAAAAATATTTTACCCTCGGCTTCGCTTTGCCTCGGATAATTTGTTGCTTTTTCTAGCAAAATGTCTTCTGACGTCTGTTAGACACTTTTGAAGAGAAACTCGTACTTTGTCCATTATTTAAACATAATCTGTTTGTGGTCATTAAGGGGCATCCCCTGAGGGAAAACTTATTGACAAATAATGATCTTTTATAAATACTAGTAAATACTAAAATATTTGCAGATCTTGCAAGTTTCCGGTCTACTTCGTTGTCAATGAAATTTATCATTGAGAAACGACTGAAGAAATTTAGTTCTATTAATAAATTTGTGGTCAATGATCGTTTTGATTTGTTACCCTAGATAGTCTTAATATAAAAATGGTTGATTTCTGATAATAAAATGTTATGCTATTATGTAATTTTTGCCAGAATTTGACTGATACATGTATATTAAACGAATTATATATACACAGCATGTTCAAATTTTTAATACTACACAATACACGTAGATAGTTCATGTTCATCTACCTACCTACCTTACCCTACCCTACCCTACCCTACCCTTTACCCTCTACAGTACAAATGTAGATGAATCGTTAGTTAGAAACTTCCTACACGACCAGAAAAATAAATAAAAATAAAGCTAAGCATAAATTAATAAAATTGGTAAAGATATAAAAATTATTGTGGTTGTCTGAGTGGAAACGGGCTGCCAGAGGATCAGGAAACGGGTTGATTCAACAAAAGATCAAATTTATGAAACATTATTTCAAAGTTGTTTTTATTTCATTTTATTGTATCTTATTTTATTAATCTAGACTTAAGACGTAGTCAATATGACAGTTGCTATCTTGAAGAAGAACTAATAACCGTTTTCTATTTAAAGCTAAGTAGCCTAATACCTGGACAAAGATAATAAGAGCTATTTGACTCCACGAAACAAAAGAAAGTCCTCTACATTCTTGTATTTAATAGAGGTTAATTGAATCATTTTGTACGTTTATTTATTTCGCTGAAACTGCCATTGTTTCCTTACTCCAAGAGTATCACTTAAAAGTCACCAAAACTGGTTTCTGGAAGCCTTAATACATGTACTTTCTAACTAAAGAAGAACATTACGGCCATCCACAATCGTTGATTGCTATACTTACTATATAACTAGATCCCAATTCATGTGGTTAATTCTGTCGATTGTTTCAAATGTTCATATATAAACGTATCTTGCTTTGACTTTGCCTACTGGTATTTGCAACTTTTAAGAAGATTTTTGACCTTTCATACTTTTAATATGAATATTCAAATTGAGATATTTTAGTGAAGAGCCTTTCTTCAAATTATACTTAAGAATTGGGTGGTTGATGAAGTATTGCAGTGAGTTTCAAAATAAAATTAGAAAAACAGAATCCCTAAAGAAAGCCTAACACGGCAAAATTGAAAATGTTGAAGGCTCGGTTTGATCACCCTAAAATCAGTCCGTTGCCTTGTTTTTCATTAATATGAGTCAATTCGGTGCACTAAATATGTTCATGGTTGTCATGAAAACACGTACTACAAATTTGTTGCTAGACAAATATTTTAATAAACCCACTTAATTGTCACGGAATGATTTTTTCCTCAAATATATGAACAATCAAAGATAATAAAGACCTTTTTATCACTTTTATGCGAATGTTTACTACTACATTGTACTTCACTACATGTGAAATTCGCTTTTCGATTTCAATTGATAAAAGACCATGTACAATCCTTATTAAATTGTAAATAAATTCCTTAAACATTACAATGTTCCGTGCATGTAAAATTTTCGAAGACTAACAGGTGTAAATGTGTTAATGTTAATATTCTTTCACCTCGTCAAGCTCGAAATCCATTTTATCTGGAATCAATCCGGTGCCATAGATCCAAATCAGTTCTGGAATGGGGAAAAATTCCAAATCAAGCCGGAACGATTACATACCGTGAGTATATGAAACATTTACCTGCTTGAGGTCAGGTGACTGTGAATACAGGGTATACCATTGTGTAAAACAATCATCATATCTTAAATTTATAACCAAGTATGTGTTTTATATTTTCCATTAGGAACTGTTCCAGGCGACTTTCTGTTATTCACTGATTCAAGCAAAGACGAGGTATTTTGCATGAATGTTGCTACAAAAATATTTGCTTCAATCCCTTATACAAAAACGCTCATTCCAACTGCCGTTGACTTTGACTTTCTTGAAGAAAGAATATTTTGGACAGATGTCTTTTTGGAAGAAATAAACAGTATCTTCATAAATGGTTCCGGAAAAAAGAACATTCTGAAGGCACAGGGTAAGTATGTCTTTTATGTTTTTATGATTATTCCGTTTTAGATTTTTGCAATGTAGATTTAAACATACTATATAACTAATTTCAAAACATATATTTATTGTTCTAATTGCTATACATAAAAAGAATTAACTCTCATACCTTGTCGAAAGGCATTAACGGGCGTCACCTAGATAAAGAGAAAAATAAAATCATCAGGTGATGTCACAAGAACACCAAAAAGCAAAAAAAATGTTGCAGGTCGATTTGATTGAACCTGTTCATGGATGGTACTGGAAAGTGCAAGTTACCGTCCTCGCTCCCTAGCACCGGCGTAAGCAGAATTCAACATTTAAACATGAACATAGTTAAATTTTGAATTTAGAAATATCCGTGGATGTGTTCATACGGCGGTTCCCATGGAACCTTCAATGTGACTCTTTCGTTTTGAAAAGCTGTGTATGCTCCCCTTGTAACAGAAAGCCTGTCCCCTAAATGTGAAAACAATGAGCGGAACTTAAAAACAAGGGGATTAGAGATTATGAAACCTAAGACCTCATAAGGCAGGCACCATATCCTAATACAGTATTCAGGTAGGAATACTGGAACTATCCAAGGTGAAAAAGGTAATATAAAATGAACTAAAAATACCACAAACATGGATAAACAACCATATTGTCGTTCTGAACGATCTCCAATGATTAAAACATAACATCTTTGATTATTTATACTGGGCGATCTTTTACGGCCTCCACATTGGCACAAATAACACTGGTTTTTAAATAGACAAAAAAAGGAATTCCTGAAGATCATCCCAAAAAATAAATTTGAAAATATTGCAGGTTCGATTTGATTGAGCCTGGTCGTGGACGGTATTGAAAAGTGCACTTTACCGTGAGCCTTTATAATCACATGATATTGTGAACCTAGAAAAAAACCGATGAATGGCAACAAAAGTCGGGCCAAATTAACAAATCTCAAAAAATGACATCATGTGATAAAAAAGTTCCGTAGATGCTTCAACTAACGTCGATACGTCGATGTTTCATGACTTTAACCATTTAAAATTGGTCCCTCACTACTACCATCAAATCACATTATATATTTTTCAATATTGCGACTGTTTATGTATCAAGTTATGCATTTAAAGGTGCAACAAGACAAAGTACAGTAAGCGTTGTTTTGTCGAAGCATAAATCAAACCCATCAATTGAGAAAAAAACGTTATGGGTAATTTTAGAAATAAGAAAAATTTTACAATATAAGTCTTTGTCATGTAAATGTCAAGGCCAATTTCAGTTTAACCTGCTTGAAGGTACTTACTAATATTATACATTACACACTAAGAATACAAAAAATCCAATGGCAACTTTCTTCTTACACAATACCGGCGAGCAATATAAGGGGTGTTTTGCCTTTCTTCGTCGGGCCCTTGAGGTTGTTTTTTTTGTTGCTCTGTCTTCCTTTAGGACATTGAGTACTTTTGTTATGGTCATTGGGTTTACTTATAAATGTTTGTACATGATCATTTTGGTGTTTTACTTATTTAACCTTTTGTAACCATAACAACTGTTAGAATTTCACTTGGCGGGGATTCATTTTATTTACACTGTATCGTTTATAGGAACATGGTGGGGCTAAGAGTGAGGTTTGGGGTCCGCCTGGGTTCCTTGCCATTGGTTCTTGTTGCTGGGTCATATGGGGGTTGCGTTCATTGAACGCCGCCTTTCCTTGTTGATCTTGTTTGTCATATTTGGTGCACCATTAACCGGTTTAAACTCCCCAGCAGCACTTGTGCTGCTGACTATTCGAAGGCGGCGCCCCTCTATGTTCCTCAGATGTATGTCTATGTTGTTTCATACTGTTTTGGTGACACCTTTGCTTGTGTCCTTTGTTGTTTTCTCGTCAACGGTAAGTATCTTCCCCTTTACCCCTAGTTTTATTTCTTTAATTACCCCCCCCCCCCTTCTCCTGTGCTCGTTAACTCTGTGGGCCTATTATTCAATCATTTATTTGTTTTCTTTGAGTTCCTTGTCAGTTACAAATTATTTCCTATTCGAGAAATTGTTTGTTTCCTTTGAGTTCCTTGTCAGTTACAAATTATTTATCATTTTAATGATTGGCCTGTTCGTGCTCTGGCCTTGTGCCCCGTCCTGTTTTTCTTTTGGGTCCGCCTGGGCTCCTTGCCGCTGGTTCTTGTTGTTGGGTCATGTGGGGGTTGCGTTCATTGAACGCCGCCTTTCCTTGTTAATCTTGTTTATCTTATTTTATTCATCTAAATTTGACGAAAATCTGATTGAATACCGTCAGAAATTGTCATTAAAACCTGCCACATAAAGCATGGCATTGTCTTAAGTTATAAAGGATCGAAATGTAACAATGTATTTTCCATTTCTAATGCAAAGCTTATTCAGCTTAAATGAATTATTTATTAACTAGTTATCCATCATTTTCAATTTTTGTCGTTATTGGCATTAAGTTTTATTCTATTTATATGAAATTTAGGATAAATTACGTAATATTACACACATTGGTGAAAACATTTGATTGAAAAAGGATAAGTAAAAATATTCTACTTGAGGGAACTGTCCTTTTCTAGAAAAAGTTCATTCGCCAATGAAAGTAGAAAGAAGACTGTAAACGCATGCGGAAGAAGGCGAACGGTTTAGAAAGTTGGTACTCGATATTTGTTACGCTATCCCTAGTAAGATTTGGACAGATACGTATGTACATATTTCAAACTCCATGCGTTAGATATTCCTGTTTAATACATGTTTTACACATGTAAATAAATTCCACGTTACTTTCTTTAAATTATTCTGCAACATTATTTTCAGGATCTATGTTTGATGGTCTAGCAATTGATTCCGAGCTGCGTCTATTGTTTTATACGGATACAGGAAAAAAGGAAATTGTAAAAATGAGACTGGCTGACACAGAAATTACTGTCTTATTTGATTCGTTTCTTGAGAAACCTAGGGATATAGAAATCGATTCATCTAGAAGGTTAGTGTCATTCTGTAAATAACAATCAAACAATACAAATAATATTCAATTGTGTCTTTATATTTTAGATAGCTGATGGGATATAATGTATATTTAAATTTTTAAACCAAAACGACATATCTTATGCAAAAATAAGAATAAAGGATAAAAAAATATGTCAAGCATATAATGGTACATATAAATGACATATTGTAAAGATTAAAGTTTTTATTTGTTTCTCTTGTAAAGAAAAATATATTGGACAGACTGGGGCATGAATGCAAAAATTGAAACAGCATACTATGACGGGACAAACAGAAAGACTATCGCCAACACAAATTTAAAATGGCCTAATGGTATTTCTTTGGATCATGAAGGTACATGTATGTTCATTCATCATCATACTTTCAGCTACTTCTTTACATTATTTCTCTGATAACGCAATTAAATTATCGGTTTTAAAAACTTATTAATGAACAAGTCAAAATGATATTTAGTTATTTTATTACCCAAAATACGGAGATTAGTGATTAAAGGAAATATCAATTCTGATTTACCTCTATGTGTCGTACTTATTCCTGTATATTTATGTTCTCTGACAATCTATGTCGATCTGAAATTTTGAAATATTTATCTATTTCAGTCGCTTTACAATTTCAATCTAAAATAAAATTATATCTTCTTAAGAATGTGCGCTTTATTTTCTAAATGATTATCTTTCCCAAATGTATGCTTATTGCATACCACAAATCATAGTAAAAAAATTTCCTTCCAGACTTCTGTTGGCCCATATATATATATATGTGTGTGTGTGCGTGCGCGCGCGTGTGTGCGTGCGTGAAATAGTGTATTTTATACTCGTAGCTGTAGCTGTTACTTTGGAAAACATAACAATGTTGGAGTAAATACTCACACAATAATACATAATTAAGATTTTTTTTCGTAATAATATAATATTGACATGAATCATTTTTAAGCTGAAATTATCTACTGGTGCGACGGTGGTACAGGGAACATTGAAAAGTCAAATATTGACGGTACAAACAGGCAAATTGTGAAGAGAGCACCTGGATCTCATCCCTATGGAATTGCTCTTTACGGTGACATTCTTTTCTATACAGATTGGGAAACAAGGTAAAAAAGATAAACACTTTTTTATGTCATTTACCTTCAGGTTAAGGGGAGCGGTGGCCTAGTAGTTCAGGTGTCTGCCTCTCAACCCAGATATCATGGGTTCGATTCCTAATTTGGTCAAGGCCATGTTTCAGTACTGGTTGGATCCAGAAAGCGAACTCGAAAGTGGTAATTATAAGTTGCAAAAAATGTTTCGCAATCGAGCTTAAATAAATATGTTCAAATCTAAACCAACCTTCAGGTGATCATTAATTGCTCGGTATAAGACAACGGCATCAGAAATTACAATGATAAATTAGCTAATCAAATGTATGTTATTGTATAACTGTCATTTTTTTTCAAACATATGCATAAAACATGATATAATCACAATCATTATTTGATAATGACAAAAAATATCAACTATTTTGAATAAAGGGCCATCACTTATATTGCGCATATGCACATTCATTTTAATGTACACTGCCAAAAATTTGTTTTCATTCTAGCGATTGCGAAGCATGTTCCTTAAATACGCTGCATATGCTTTAGAATCGAAGTGTATTAAGTTGTTTAAATTTAATTTATGTCATGTATTGCATCTAGTATAAAATTATACTGAAAGAAAATAAGCGTGACACGAGTTTTGGACATTCAATCTATCAGTTCAGACGCAGACTTAACAAATTTGCAATCTGCATTATTGTTCTTTTAAATTACACGTATGTCGTATCAGATAACGAAAAAAAGGTGATAAATCAAAGTTAACAAATTGTTTTGGTCTTAAAGAGTGACAGAAAAAACGAGTAACAAACCTTTCGACAGTAAAATTATTTATTCTTAAATAAAACAAGTTACTAAATCGTACAAAATAACAAAATATTTACAGTACCAGAAAGTTGAAATAATTATTATAACTAATATAATAACTTATAATCCTGTCTGATCCTGGTACTTAATTACATTTCCACATGCCTTGTTATATCCTCACAAATGCTGTTGTTGTGGGTGTTTTTTTTACGTTTTTGTGGGTTTTTTCTTCTTTCTTCTTTGTTGTTGTCGTTGTTGTTTTTTGTTTGTTTGTTTTTCTTTATTTACAAAGAGCACAAGTCCCAAAATAGCGGGAAACATCAGCAGTGTACAAACATAAATATATACAAATACATAATTTAAAATGGCTATATTACATTCTTAGGATTATAGTTGTATAAAGATAAAATAATATGAGAAGGAAGAAAATAAGCTTACATATTTAGTATAATTAATAGTTAAAATATGCTTTAATCAATATACATCTACAATGATTTGTTTAAAGGTTTCAGTATTTAACAATATAAGTTAAACTCTTTCCTCAAAAACTGGAAAATAAAAATAATGCAATAATCATGCAGCATAGAGAGCTTGTATCATAGTTTAGGGACCTTGATGTTGAAAATGTGCCCATGTTAAATCGTATACAGATACATGCACAGTGGTTAGTTTGTTTGTTTTGGGTTTTACGTCACATCGACACAGTATAGGTCATATCGCGACGTTCCAGCTTTACTGGTGGAAGAAGACCTCAGGTGCCCTTCCGTACATTATTTCAGGCACGAACGGGCACCTGAGTAGAACCACCGACGTTCCGTAAGCTAGCTGGAAAGCTTCCTCACATGAAAGAATCCAAAGTCCCTGTCGGGATTCAAACCCACAGCGGTGAGGGGCAAGTGGTTTGAAGTCAACGACCTTAACCACTCGGCCACGGACGCCCCTTGCACAGTGGTTAACTGGAGTGCAGGTATTAGTCACCCAGGTACACATTGATTGGCTCATTATTTCTGGAGTAAACTTATTGTGATGGCAGAGAAAGAGATAGCGATAGAAATATCATATTCAGATGCTCGTTCATTGGTTACTTTTTCCCGGGGTTTCATATTGTGACAACGGGGAACGTGTTTTTATTTGTGCCTATGATACAAAAGAGAAAGAACAAACGCTTCCTCATACAAATCAGATAGCCTCGTGTTTCGATGCTCTTTCTGTTATATATTGTTCCAGTAATGCCATGTAAAAAGAATAGTTAATATTCAAAAATGTCTAGGAACTAAGTGTGTTCATGTATTACAATGTGTCATGCAAGAAAAGCACTGATATTGATACAAAGCATCAAAGGGCGTCCAAGCAAGAAACGTAGCAAGTGAAGATGAACAAGTAGACATCTGATGACTAGATATTCTTGTAAACTTTTCAATGGTTAATTGGTTTTACCAGAATTGTATAATATTAATGAATGGGCGGACGAAAGACATTGTTCATCATGAACATTGGTAGGCATGCTAGAGATTAAAATATTAAAGGGTTTTTTTTTTGTTTTTTTGTTTTTTTTTGCACAAGAACTTGAAATTCTATCAAAATTAACGATAATATCCAAAATGTACAGGTCTATAATATCCCAAAATATACCCCCTCTATGGAATAAGTCTATTTATACTTTATAGGGGTTATTTTTGGATATTATCATAAATATTGGTTATTTGATAAAATTTCAAATTCATGTAGTATTTTCTTTGGAACATACTAAATAGTAGTCTTAATGAAAAAAGTCTGTTAATTGATTTATTGGGGGTCAATGCACCAATTTAATGAATTAGTTAAAAAAAACTCGTCTGTCTGACCCACCAGTGTGTAATAAACCCAAAACAACTCATGGTAAAATTGCAGACGAAAGTTTCTGTTGTTAAAATGTCACAATATTCGGCAAATCAACATTCCACTCAAACTACTATAAAATCGAGTGGCTTCAAACAAAATATAGAAAAATCAGGGTCGAGTTTAGTTAAAGTGACATTATGCTCATATTTTCATAGTCAAGTTGAGCTGAATTGACTTTATATTTCAAAAGATTGACTGTTTAAATGATGTTTGACCACAGGTGATATTTGAAAATGTTTAGATAAAATTATAAATCTGCCTTAAATATAAAAAGACGGTCCACTCTTTTTATAAACTGAACGGTACACGTACATTCTAATGGATATTTACAGAAAATTCCTTAGGATCCGTGTGTTATTTATTGTTTTTACGAAGTCAATTATTAAATGAAAAGGAATTATTGCAAAATGAAAACTTATTTATTTATTCACATGTTCACTCATTATATACCCTTGGATGGGTATAATGTCACTTTAAAGAGACTTGAACAGCGAATAGGTTTTATAGTATACTACTGCTTGACCTGTTAACTGTCGCACAACGTCAACAGAAAAACGACATTTTAAGTTATGAACTAGGTCTATTTAAATACTCACGGTAAAATTGTCATAAGTGCAATCAGGACCGTAAAAAAGAAAACTGGAAAAAAACTACGGAAAAGACAATTTCAAAATGATAATACTATGATTTAACATGTCGTAAAAATAATGTTACAGACAAAGATAACTTAAATTTTTTCTATAGATTTTCAATTCAATGTTTGAATATCTTTGCATTTCATTTCCTGCAAAAATGCCCAGTTCGTTATTTATTACCATAGCGCAACACAAATGAGGGTTTCGTAAACTAAAACTACTTCTATAAATAGATTTTCGGACTTTCATAATGTTAAGGTCATCATTCTAATCTTAGGTACAGCAATATATAATAAACAAAAGTTATCCTTTATATATTTATACAAATACGAGTCTGACGTATCGTTTATTTCAGCTCTTCAGCTTTGAATATAGATATCTTTTAACTTTTGAAAGTTTGCTTTAATAAGCCATTTTCTACTGCTAAATCATTGAGCATACAATACTCCAGAAAAACCTGTCTCACATAAATATTGTTTAACATTTTCTATCCAGTTTGACTTAACTAAATTCTTAGACTGATTTTTTTCCAAAAAAGACACATCGACTTATCCCCACATTTCACTTCAATATAATAAAATCGGTTTGATTGTCCTTTCAATAGTTCGATTTGTAAATGAATCAAATGGTAAAGATAACATTTTAATTTTCCTAAACACTTTCTATTTACAGTGCAAACATTGCTTTATTTGCAATATTCTATCACTTTTAGGGCGGCATTTACTAAAATCATTATTGAAGTTTTGTTTATATTAATGTTTAATTTCCAATGATTTATTTAAGTCAATTTTAAGATCATCTTCACTTTCACTAATTATGACGTTGTTAGCGTAAAGTAGTCGTAAGAAGAAAGTTTCAAGTAAACTTTCAAGATAGTTAAAAAAAAATTGAAATAGAAAATGAGACATATTTTCTCCCTGACGTACGCCAATAAGACAGTCGAAAAAGGCGTACATCCTTTAGAGGTTATCACTTGTGACTTAATGTTTTAATGACATTTAAAAACTTTCCATTTATATTATTTTGTCTTAAATTTTGCCATAATCCAACTCTCCAAATAGATTCAAACGCCTGCTTGAAATCGACGAAACAACAATAAAGCCTTTTCTTATTAGATTGTACAATATCGATTAGGCATTTTAGAATAAAAATATCAGCAGTAGAAAAGTTGTTTCTAAATCCTGCTAGTGTTTCATGTACTGGTATAAGATTCGTACTATCAACTTTGATTTATTATACATGTGAAAAGTTTTCCTAAGCAACTTATAAGTGATATTGGGCGGTAATTTCTAATTTAAGTAATTTTGCACTTCCCTTATTTTTATATATAGAGGATATTTGTTGTTTGTGTGTAAGATGAAATTTTATTTCATTGAGTGGCTTTAAAAACAGTTTTCTCACGAGTGGCGTAGCCACGAGTGAGAATACTGTTTTTAATGTTCACGAGATGAAATAAAATTACATCTTACACAACAAAAAACAAATTTTCTTTATATTTTATGCTTAAAAACAAGTTAAAACGAAATTCCTTAATATTTACGTTAATATTAAAATCTGTTTTCCCCATTTAGAGCCTCAAAAAAGTCGAATTTCTCATTAAATACAAGAAGTCATGGGCTGAAAAATAAGTTCCACAATCAACGTTAAATGGTGGTGATAGTATTCATTTTATTAAAAAAAATATGTCTAATCGCTTGTT